AGGAATGTATAAACACGAAAAACACAACCTGAACGAAACGCGATCATGGACGATCGACTGCAGTCAATCTGTCCCTCTTCTCCTTCGCTCTGGGACAATTCCCCATCTTATATTTAGATTTGTGCGCTTCCACTCTCTTTTCATGTCAGCAACGTGTTACACGTAGTGCCTCCTCCACAACCAAAAACATGCTTCGATCCTCCTATACCTACGCCCTCTACCCTGTCACGATATGCAGGAAGCTAGCGTTGACTACAGGCAAGACATGGGAGCCTGAAAGTACCAGATCACCATTACTAATGTGGTAATCATATTCTTACTGTAAGAATATCCTTGGCAAATATAGCGCAGCCCACAAAAGGCTAGGGCGATTATCTCAGGCCTCAAGACAGGCTGATTGCGAAGGAAATGAGTTCTCTCTCTCTCTCTCTCTCTCTCTCTCTCTCTCTCTCTCCACTCAACGGGGGTGCTACTCGTACTGCGAGTTCCTGGAACTCACCTCATGGCATTCAGGAAGATTCCTTATCGTACAAAGATGATCAACACGTCTCTCTTCCAGGTCTCTCTCTAACCCTTTCCCATCCTTTCCCTTTTCCTGCAGCCCACAAAAGGCTAGGGCGATTATCTCAGGCCTCAAGACAGGCTGATTGCGAAGGAAATGAGTTCTCTCTCCCTCTCTCTCTCTCTCTCTCTCTCTCCACTCAACGGGGTGCTACTCGTACTGCGAGTTCCTGGAACTCATCTCATGGCATTCAGGAAGATTCCTTATCGTACAAAGGTGATAGACACGTCTCTCTTCCAGGTCTCTCTCTAACCCTTTCCCATCCTTTCCCTTTTCCTGTACTTCAATGCTCTAGTTGAAGCGCGGTACAGTCGTCTCTCTCTCTCTCTCTCTCTCTCTCTCTCTCTCTCTCTCTCTCTCTCTCTCTCTCTCTCTCGCTCTCGCTCTCGCTCGCTCGCTTGCTTCTCTCTCTCTCTCACACACACACACCCCAATACACTCAGCTCTTTCTTACTTTCTAACGTTTCACGAAACCGACCGATTAGCAAACACGAGGCGTGTCGACATCGAGTAACGAACAGATCAGGAAGAGAGGCAGGAAAGGTTGTTTTGGCCCTTCAAGGACTCGACGATCTCCCCTACATCTGCAATGCATTACAGTGCCATTACCTTTCCGTTCCCCTTCGCGCCTGACCCATCTTCGCAACTGCCACTCCATGACCTTCCTTTCTCCGCTGCTCCTGAAATTCTGCTGTCACCTTGATCGGCGTGTCCATCAGTCTTGCTCTCTTCCTCCAAACGCCCATCCTCCTCTACCTTCTCTGCGAGACCTTGCGGCTCCCGCTCATTGTTTCGCTTCCCCTCATTCTGCTCCGTTCTCTTGTCGTGATCATTCCTGCAATCTGTTTCTCCCATAACATGTGGTCCTCCGCCAGCTCCACCTCGTCCTCCATCTGCGCCTTCTTCCGCGGGCCCCCCTTCCCCCGTTCTCCCTCCCCCTCCTTCCGGCTGCAGTGATACCTCTTCCTGCAACTCCCCCTCCTCCCCTGACGTTCCCTCCACGTTCCGCGAGGCCTGCGGCGAAGAAACCTTCGCATCCTCTCTCTTCTTCTTCTTATCGTCTTTCTTTGACACGGCTCTCTTCTGTTGCTCGTCGTTTGTCCTAACGTGCTTTTTCCGATCTTCCCCCTCACGCTGTCTCTGCCTTTCCCTCCTCTTCTCCTCCTTCTCCCTTCTCTCCCTCTCTCGCTGCTCCTTCTCCTCTCGCTCCTTCTCCAACCTCTTTCGCTCCTTCTCTCTCTCGATTTGCTGCTTCATAAGCTTCCGCCGCTGCTTCTTCTCCTTCTCTCGTTTCAGCCTGTTCTCCCGCCTTTCCGCCGCTGCCTTCTCTTCCTCCTCCTCCTCCTCTATCAGCTTCTCCTGCTTCTGCAGCGACACCTTCTCCCTGTACGCTGCCAGTACTCGCTGCTCGAACATTTTCGCGGCGAACATCTGAAACATCCGCCTTCCTTCCTCGATCCTCTGCTCTTCCATCACCTCCTCGTCCTCCTCACTGAACGGTCCTTCATCAAACTCTTCCGTGTACCCAAACTCCTCCTCCGCGATTTCCTCCTCACCGTTCGGCAACCTCTGATCCGCTAGTTTCTCCATCAAAGCGAAGAACTTTCTCCCATCGTTCTTCAACAGATCATCCGCCACAGTCAGTATCCCGTCTTTCACCATCAGACTCTTTGACAGATTGAACCCATCCTCTTCCTCTTCCTCGGCATCTCCGGCCTCGACATCCCCATTCGCCGAGGATACGTTCGTACCTGTCTGCGCGGCAGCCACCGCGCTCCCCCCCACTCCCGCGCCATTGTCCCCGCTTCCCGCCGCCGAACTCCCCGTCGCTGCAGCCGAAAGCCTGCGCGTCCTCTCCGCCGCAGCTGCCGCTGTTCTCCCCGGAAACTCTAGCTCTTCGTAGTACGCATCGTAAAGCATACCAAGCTCCTCTTCAAGAACTGTCCTCCTTCGACCGCAGACTGTGCACGAGCAAATATGCCTCTGTTGCTCTCTCATCTCGCGAAGGATCGCCTCTTTCTCGATCTTGACCAGAGATCGCCTCTCGTCGTCGGTAAGGCCAAGCCAAAACTCTTTCAAACGCTGCCGTTCTTCCACCTCACTCTCCTCCCAAATGCCTCCACGACGTTTCTTTCCCCTCCGTGAACGTCTGCGATACCCGCTGCCACCCGATGACGACGATCTTCCTCCATCACGCACGCTCCCCTCACCTGCGATTCCATCACTACCCGGATTGGAATCCTGAACCTCTGTCCTCCCTTCTGCTGCATCCATGCCGTTCCCATGCCCTAACGCAGAGCTGGTGCCAAGGGACGAGCAACTGTTGCACATAATCCTCCCCCCCCCCTTCTCTCCCCTCTACACGCCCTCCCAGCGAACCAACCTCTCAAGTAGCGCACATGGTAGATCGCATTTTCACTTTCATTCACCGGATACTAAACCGATCCGTCTGCCAAGGCGTGCAGGCGGCCGCAAGGGAATTACTGTATGTATTCCAAAAACAATCGAACAGATTCGCAAAGACCTCCCTTAACGCAAGGACCAGAGCGCAGAGCCCGCAAGGGAATTAATTAATGGATCCCAACGGCAGTCGCACAGATCCGCTGATACCTTCTCCTTAACGCAAGGACTAGAGGGCAATCGCCTATCAAATGCGTGTGCGTATGAGAAAGCGCCCTTTATGTCCCGCCCTTACACCGACGGATCCCAACCGATAAACACGGTGAAGTCTTCAAGATCGCCCCCCTATGCCTGTAAAGTGCCAACAGCCGCCGAGACATTGAAAGGCAAAGATGAAAGATACACGAGCGCGAAAGAAGCCCGGAAAAAGCCGAAGAGAGACAGAAACGAATTGCAAAACACAGCGAAGAGAGAGAGAGCACAGAGGGAAACAGGGAACGAAGAGCGAGGGAATGAGGGCGCCTCGAGTGGGAACCGTCAACCTGTTAAAACCGCCCTCTCATACCGTGACAGCTAAAGATCAGTCCCAGAGCGCCCCCCCCTCGCAGCGAAAATATATTTTTCAAGTCGAGCCTTGAGTTTCCACTATCGAAGAAGAAGCTCAAACGAAGCTGCTCCAAAAGAGAATGCATAGCCGATCAAATAAATATGAAGCCAAGGAATGACAGACATGCGAGAAGAAACTCTTGCGCCATCCGCCCACTCTCTCTCTCTCTCTCTCTCTCTCTCTCTCTCTCTCTCTCTCTCTCTCTCTCTCTCTCTCTCTCTGTGTGTGTGTGTGTGTGTGTGTGTNTCTCTCTCTCTCTCTCTCTCTCTCTCTCTCTCTCTCTCTCTGTGTGTGTGTGTGTGTGTGTGTGTGTGTGTGTGTGTGTGTGTGTGTGTGTGCCCGGACAATCGATTGTTTGGGAGCCGGCTTCTCCTGGTATCTTCCCGACGTCTCTTCGTCCCTCACCCACCTGCTTTCCCGGCAGCTTGTCTCTTTATTTCTGCTTATTTTCCAAAATGCGATGTCTCTCTCTCTCTCTCTCTCTCTCTCTCTCTCTCTCTCTCTCTCTCTCTCTCTCTCTCTCTCTTTGCGCCTTTGCGTGCAAATATGTGTGCATGTCCGCGATTTTCCAAGCCGATCGCCTAACGTCTACCACCGCGCGGTCCTTGCTGCCCTCCTCCGCTTCTCGTCAGCACGTCGAACACAATGCCACTAGATCACTTCCCTTGCGCCCGTCGTTCGTAGCTATAGCATACACCTGTCGTCAAGGAGGCCCTGGGCGGGCAGGTGGGCGTGCCTGCGTGCGTGCGCACAGGTGCCCGATAGCCACACACTCAATACACCAGTTGAGAAAGACAGTCTTGCAGCAAACCCTACGGTCATTTAGTCGCCGTTCGGCGAAATGCGCCCACCGATTACATTGGAGAGCTAAGGGCACCGGTGCAAACAGGTAGACAGCATGAAGGGGGAGAAAAGAACGTCAAGGAGAAACAGAGGGCGAGAGGGGCATTCAGGACGCCCAACACCTGTCAATGGATACCACGGTGGTTTTCCAGTCCGGGTTGCCCCTCTTTTCGAAATGCCGTTCTCCCGCCAAAACTGCGCCCCAGCAGAGAACCCGACGAGACGGGTGAGCTCGAGGATCGCTGAGAGGAAAGAGAAAGCAGAACGGAGCACATAACAGCAATGATTAGCGGTGATTCGACACCTGCTCGTGGGTCTGACCAGACGTCGGACTCACTTTGTTGTCGAGCCCTTCCTATGCAGGTTCCGTATCATTCAGTCAAACTCACTCACCTCCCCTTCCACCTCCTGTTTTGCCCCGACTCCGCGTTCCCCTCGATTCACGAGACGCCTGTCCTCCTCGATGGAGCAGACGTCCTCCTGCTCGATCCAGGTTACCGGTTACTGCTTACGCAGCACATACACAACAACTCACTAAGGGCATACTCACACGGCGACCCCAAATCCGCAATTTGGGAAGGGCCGATTTGAGGTTTTCGGCATGGTTCACGTCACACTGCTGTGCCTTTTCAGATGGGACAAGGTCGCGGCCGTCTGGAGAAATGGGGATTTGGTACTTGGCTGGTCACACGGCGCTCTCCACTAGTGCAAGAACTTTTGTGAACGATTTTTTGCCAATTTTCGAAGAAAAATGCAACAAATGAAAAAGGGCATTTGCGGTCACCTCCAGAGGTGACCGCAAAATCCCTTGCCCCGCAGCTTCCCAGGCCGCTGACAAATGGGCACTGGAATAGTACATTTGCGAATTTGGTAGATCCGCGTGACCGGCCTTCTACCCTTTTTTGGGGGATTTTGGGATTATAGGTTTGCGGTCACCTCTGGAGGAGAAGAAGAAACAGGGAGAAAATTTGGGATTATGGGAATTCTTGGGGACAAGGATTTTGGGATTTGGGGATTATGGGAAATCTTGGGGAGAAAAATTGGATTTGGGGATTATGGGAATTCTTGGGGACAAGGATAAACATTGAAACAGGGAGAAAAGTGACGACCCAATTAGTTCTGAAAAACTTCAATGAGATTTGGAAACACGGCGTACTTACCTTCAAAACAATCAAGGATTTCTCGTCCTACTCAGCAGTCCCGCAGAAGAAGGCAGTGATTACGAGTTGTCTACACAGACTCTACCGAATGACTTCGGAAGTGGAACTAATTGGATTGGGACTACTAACCCTGAAGAGATTGCTACGACTGCAGGGGTACCCAGGCAAGTATTTCGACGACTGCCTGGGAAAATTTATCCGAAGAAGAGCACCGTCATGGGACGCTTGGGGAAAGAAGTTTTGTGGCTATAGACAGCAGGATACCCGGATCTTGAATATCTACAGGAAATTTTACGTTTCAGATAGTACAAAAGTCTGGACACTAACGTTTTGGAAGGTAGTAATATTTACCCGGATCTTGAATATTTACAGGATACTGCACGTTTCAGATAGTACAAAAGTCCTGACATTAACGTTTTTTGTAACGTAGGAATATTTACCCTAGTAGATCGTGCACGGACTGAATAAAAATCATTTCCGTGGGAAAAACTCCAAACTTGATTTTTCGTAAGGCTTTCTTTCGTAAATGTTTTCAGAATATGACAAACCTGTAGGTTATAGACTGACCCTACAGATACTGAGTTACCGTTTTTTTCAGAACTGTAGGATTTTCGTATTTGTTACAAGAGGCGCTACGGTTGAAACTCGTTTTTTCGGTAGACTTGCGTCATCACAGTATTACTTAAAAGTTTTGTCCGAGAATTGACCTTCAGGCTACAGACTTCTCGTGCCCTTTAAGTAGATTTTTYAATTTTCGGTTCTACGAGAAGAGTTCCTGCCTAAGACTCTAGAAACTAAGGGAAGTGACTGAGAGACTCACTATTTAAGAGAGAGGTTTCTCACCTTTCCATTACCTCGGAGTTATCCCCTCCTGTTGAGGCTAGATCTGGCTCTAATCGAAACCGGTAGAGGGAAGCCAGACCGCCATCGCCAGCCATAGCTTGGCTTTGGCCTCTCTTGGAGCCTAATGTCATTCTCTCGAAGAGTTACTCTTGGACTTATCACTCATTCACTCATATTTTCGTAAGAGTTTTAACATTCCGAGTTTTTCACATACTCTGGCAGGTTGTTTTGCAGCGTGTCTATGTGTCTCGTACAACTGATCTCAGCCCACGCTGATGTTAGCCTCGCTCTCTTCCCAATCGACAAAAAACAGTGGCAATCAGCCAGGAGGCGATCACCTGGTTTGGTGGCCCTGTAGCACTAGCGTATCGGTACTACTTATTAGGATTTACCTTTAGTGAGATATTATCTACGTGGCGGAGGATGATCATCAACATTATCGAGCACCACCGTCCCGAAAGCTACGAAGAAAAACCTCAAAGAGCACTGAAGGGACATCTTCAAATGAGACCTGCGAAGAACAAACCTTATCAAGGATGAACGGGGGGGTTTGGCTTTGGAACAGGACCACCTGGCCACCCCAAGGAGGAGAGGGTGGGTGGAATGAAGGACAAGGAGGACAAGCGAGTCAAGGAGGATGGAACGAAAACGGAGGGGGGTGGAACAATGGCAACGGAGGAGGAAGGAACAACGGGAATAGAGGGAAATGGAATAACGAAGGAGGGAACGGAAGTAATTGGAATAATGGAGGAGGGAACAACGGTAATGGAGGTAATTAGAATAATGAAGGGAATTGGAACAACAACGGAGGAAGCTGGAACAACGGAGGGGGATGAAATAATGGAGGAGGAGGGCAGCAAAGAGGACCTAAATGCTACAACTGCGGGTTGTTTAGACATATCGCAAGGGAATGAAATTCCCAACGGCAGCCTATCCAAGGGCAGTCGGAGAACTACCAAGTACCTCAAATGAACGAGACTTCAAGTAGCTCAAATGCCTATGCGGATGTGCCAGCGACAGCGACTTTCAGTAAAGAAGTTTAAGACTCGCTCAAAAATATGGCCACATTCATGCAGAGGCAAATGGAAAAAGAAGAAGAGGAGAAACAACAAAAGAAAGAGGCGGATGAACGGAGAAAGAAAGCGGGGAAAGAAAGGTCAACTAGGGAAGAGGCGAATAGACGAGCAATCTAGAAGAAAAAGGTTAAGGATCTAAAGGAGGCGAAAAAAAATTGAAAGTTCAAGAAAATGCAGCGAAACAAAAGGAGTCGTTAGAAAAAGAATTTGAAAGACGATTGGAAACAAGACTAAAGGGTGTTATGATAACTGAGAAATTTGTGAAAGCGAAGACGAAACAGAGAACACCTTCACCTTCGTATTCTGACTCAGAGGATGAAGACGAAGAGACGCAGGATGAGAGATTGGAAAAACGAAAGAGACAAACGGACCAAACTTCTGGAGGACAGGCCAGCCTAGCGGAAACACCCGCAAAAATCGGTCGACCTACAACTAAT